TATTGCCCTTAGAAAACGCGCAGTATTTGATAGTTTTTTTAAAGAAAAAAAGGATCAAGTTATTTGAAAATACGGACAATGAGCAAATTTAACTTTGAAAATTGCTTCCATAGTTAGGGCCAAATTACAGGAAAATGCCCTCTTTGGGTAATTTTTCACATTTTCAAAGTAACGAAATAATTGTAGAGAGAAATGTTACATGGAATTAAAAAATAAAAAAAAGCGAGAAAGAAGAAATATGTAAAAACGTGAAAGGAAAACATGCATATTTTTGCATGTTAGATTAGGTACCAAGGCGACAACTTTTAGTAGCCGCTGCTTTATAAGATAAATTTAGGCCTCAAAACCTAAACTTTTAGCATCTTCAACTGCGTGCTCTAGCTTCGACATTTTTTTATGGAGTCAAGATGGACTTGAATTTATTACGATGAAGAGTTTTCTTTGGCTTACATGAGTAAACGTTAATAGTGTTCGCATCTCAGGATTAGAGATACAATGTTGGTCTACGTTGTATGTGTAATAGAGATAGAACGTAGATCTACAAAGTTTGTTCTTTAGATTTTCTATTATGGCTAGAGTAATACTATCGAACGACTATTATCAAAGGTTTGCAGGATTAACCTAATATTTTTATTTAACGTAATCTAGGAAAAGCTTGTAAGAAAGAATACTATTTAAAAAATAAATGTCCTAATAGAATATTCAGGATAAAGCCCGTTGTTTTATTCAACGTTATCCAGTTTGGGCTAGTAAGATAGAATATTATTGGAAAACTATTCATGAAATATTCAGGATTAGGCCAGTCTTTTTATTTAACGTAATCCAGAAAGAGCTTGTACGACTCGGTCTCGTCTGTTGCTAGTAGCGCTAGCAGCGACGTAGTGTAGGCGGCAGAAGAATAGGACACGCCTGACTAACTAGCTCGCCCCATACTTTATCCCGCGTGTGAGATTAGGCCTGCAGAGTAAAAAAAATGTACCCACAGTTGAAAGTGCAACCATGCATGTACCTTAAAATATATATATAATTTAAGATTTAGGCCATGGTGAGATTCTGCAACATGCCCTTGTGCCGCCTTTGTTGGATCTAAATCCTAAAACACAATGCTCAGTTTAAAAGACTCAACTTTCCATTTCTGTTCGCAACATAAATTCAAGTTACTATGATGTGTGATTGTTAAAGCTTGTTTCAAAATTTTGTGAAAGCCACGTTGAGTACCTTCACACTTGTTTTAAAAGAAATTCTTACCTCAGTGCACGTCATGATGCACGCGTCTTCCTTTCACTTCAAGGTAAATGACGAATTGGACGATTAAGTAAATTTTGCAAAAAATAATCAGAAATGACGCGTCTCGCTCGTCAAGCAGATCACGTTTTATTAATGCTCGGATACAAGGTGCAACTGAACTAAGTCTGGCAGATTTCACTCAACCCAACTGTACACTGGACTGTAAAGCACAATGTGATAATACCAGCGAAGTAGCTTGTATCAATAAGAACGTAAGTGAGTATGTTGAAGCATGAGTGGGGGGAACACGAGCAAAACTTTTGTTTTATAATGAATTTTTCTGTGGTGGCAGATTTGAAAATTTTAAATAAAATTACTTTATTACTGACTATGGAATAATGGCAATCAATATTACACGCACCGCATAAATTCCACAAAAATTAACGTATTGAATCGAATTTCTAGTAGAAGACGGACAAGCTATGCAATTTCTGAAATTATTTGGAATGAACGTAGGGAAAAAATTTAAACATTTATAAAAGGGAAGCCATAATGGTCATGACATTATTTCATGTGACCACATACGTTTTCGCGCGCCAAAAAATTTTTTCATAAGCATAAAATTATTCGGGTGGGATGTTTGTAATAGGTACTTTGGCGTATTAATTCACTCCAAGACTCCATATCAAACATTTTCATTCCAAACAAAATTCATGAATAAAATGAAAAACATTTTCATTTTAAACAGAGCCAAAATATAAAATGTTCAACACGGGAACAATATCGATAGAAAAGTTTTCGAGGCAGCAAGCAGCTTAGTTCTTGTGTCACTTTACAGTTCTGCACGCGATACAGTAAAGGCCGCGGAGCAACTGAGCGCTCTATGCTCCAGAAGAGATATTTTAAAGTGAGACAACCGTGCGTAGGTCGCACGTGGGCCGACGCTGGATAAACTCTTCCTCGTCTTGTGTGACTATCACTATACATGTCTGGAAGTATACATCACTATACATGACTAGAAGTCTTCTTCATCTTCCAAGAAAACGTCTCATGAGACAGGATGCTCGGTCCGCACAAGGCGGTGTGACCCATCCATGTTCCGGCGCACAGAAGATAACCGAAAATTATTCGAGAAAATATCTTGTAGTTGCGGAATATTTAACTGCTGCCTTAATTCGAACGCGTCCATTAAGCTTCTGACCTACAGGAGTTGTTCGAAGCAATTGGAATTTTCATCATAATATGTATGCCGCCTTAACGTAATTTTGCATAAGTTAAGTGGAAATACAATCAAAACGTCTGTACATTTGTATAAGACTCCGAATTTTAGTCTAAGATTAAAGACCGCATACATGAATCCTCGAGTTAAATTGTTTTACCGAAGTAATTTAGCGTTTTCGAACGATGGTTTTGCGTATCCTTTAAAGAAAGTCCCTTAAAATTAAGGTTTTAATCTTCCTCCGATTTTACCTAACACTTAGTTACAGCCAGCAACCATGATTACTTCTTTGCAAAAATGAATTTTTGATTTTTTCTCGCTCGAACCGAAACATTATTATGTAAGTATTGTAAGACATAAGACTCGCCAGTCTAAAGAATAATGATGAGGGGACGGAATTTTAACTTTGGTAATATAGATAAAACGAGAACTTAACTTCGAAGATAATGGCGCAAAAGTATAACTATATGAGCCACAGACATCAACATTAGAATTACTCCAATTGATGAGATTTATTCCATGATTCTATAAGTTAAGATCAATGAATTGTATAAAGTTAGAATGGATGAAATTGTTATATGATGAGTCGGTGAGGGCGTGGGCTGCAGGGCAGACGGTGAATAAGATGATTCTGGAACATCGCTGGGTCAAGTGACTCATGGCTGCATGATTAATGCCATGATTGGAGCATGCACTAATTTGACCATGCAATGATTGGACGGTGCAATTTTTTGACCATGCAATGATTGGACGGTGCAATTTTTTGACCATGCAATGATTGGACGGTGCAATTTTTTGACCATGCAATGATTGGACGGTGCAATTTTTTGACCATGCAATGATTGGACGGTGCAATTTTTTNACTGAAATACAAAAGACCAAGAGAATGAAAGCAAACAGAGATCAGTAGCTGCCGAAAAATTATTTTCTACTTTTGAGTCCACATGAAAAACGTGGTCTTTAAAAAATTTTTTTATACATTTTATTATATCATTGAAATGCATCATGCTGGAAAGAAAGACATGGTACCTTCGAGCTACCGCCCGAAGCATTGCGAGTCACACTTTGCATGTTCCTTCGACGTCATCGTCGGCGCTGCAAGCACAAACGTCACGGCCACGTCATGGCCACGTCATGCCGCAAGAATGCTCTCGCGCATTCGTGGAACTTGACACTACCGCTGCTCGGACGTGCAGCTGGAGATATCTTGTCAAATGTGTCCTATCTAAAACTAGGCGATTTATTGGAATCTCTAATGTTATTTTGGAATATCTGTACGATTTTCTTCCATAGATAATTTTTTTTCACTGTGAGTCCATATTATCGATAATAAAAAATCATAGATTTAGAACTGATAACTTGATGTACATCATGAACTTTTCGTATTCAGCATACAAGAATTGTCAATAAAATACCAGCAGGAAAAATTAATTTTTTTCTAGCTCGACTTCACATGGCTGGTAGGAATAGCATTAGGATGGGAGGATTGACTGATCATCGTGAGCAGGAAATAACGGACCCATTGAGAAGCGGCAGTACAGGATGTTCATTTTTCCTATAGGTCAATTTAGTTCAACTAAAAAAATCAAGAAAATAATAAAATCCTAATTAAAGGCCAATTAATCAAATAAAGTGAGAATGATGTATAAAACAGTAATAAGTAAAAGGAGATGCAGAGCCACATGGGCTATGACACGGTTTTAGAGCGAGGCAAGCAATGCGAGCACGACTGATAATGCAAGCTCAGGGCGCAGCTCATAATCAAGCGACTCGTGAAGACCAAAAATGACACCAGGCGCATAATAAATTTGGGCAGCGAGCGCTGGCGGTGACAATGTATGTCACGTCATGGGTGGCATCTCGAGGAAAATGCGCCGAAAATACAAATTCCTTGACAGTTCAGAGAATTTTTGTTTAATATCCCACACACTCACGAAAATGAGGGTACCAAACGTGCACCAGTGTATACCAATTGAGACAATTGCAATAGTATCGCTATACAATTTACAAGTAATGAGAACTAACCATTATTGAAAGCATAGAATGTGTTTAGCGCAAAGTAACACTATTTTTCACCCGACAATGCTCAGTATCAGAAATAAATACAGTATATCCCTTAAATAAAACGAACGAACTCCTTCCTCTCATTTAACAACCCGAGCAGCGCAACCTCATCCATACCTATATACGATGTGTGTAACATCTACAAACTTAATTCTAACACGCACAAATATCATAAGTCCGAATAAATCGAATTTTCACCATAAATTTGAAAGCAAAAAAAAAAAAAACAACGTCAAGCTAATTTCCCGTGTCTTTGTCGGTATTTGCAAATATAGAGAATTTGCTTGGCATTTTCGATGACGATGAAATGAATTTGTGTGACACCGATTATTCCGATTATTAAAGATATGGTGAAGTTTCTTATCACCAATCAATGAAAATATGGTGAATCTAATTAACGTCGATCGATGAAGATATAATGAATTTTATTACAGTAATAACTGCTTTCAAAGTCTAGGTTATTCTAACACATAACGTGATGTAGACTCACAGGCTTGTGTTTGCTATGGTTGGGCTGGTAGCGCTGAATGCGTTGTTTAAAATCCATCACTCCACCACCTTCTCCATCACTCACAGCCGTGCCACCACCATCGCTCGACATCTGTACACAAAATAATGAAATTAAGAAAGAGTACTAATATACAGCTGAAGAACGTACATAAATATACACTATTTCTAGCCTTACTACTTAACTAGACAAAAGAGTGATTAAAATTCTATGTACAATAATTGTATTCTTGCAAGAATTTGCACGAGAAATTGTCATAAATTTAAACGTTTGTATACTACATCGCTTAGAATTTCCATTAAGGATGCATTTCAGCAGCGAAATGGGAACTAAAGGTATCGTGGACGAGGCCGAAAATCAACAATGTAAATTTGAACTGTAAAAATGAGTGGTAGTCATTTTTCTCTGCCAGAAACCTTGGTATTTCCCGTCAGCGTAACGGGGTTATACCAACGAATGAAGAATTTTCACACTTAGCAATAGAACTCAGATTTCTATTTATCAATAATTAGGACATACGTGAAATCATCTCTTTCATTTAGCCGTCACGGCACACATTGAGGGCACGTTTATGTTCTCAATGAACCTGTTTTTTCTTATGCAGATTTACGATCGGCCTTGGCAATTTAGATCAGCATTCTTTCAGAAGCTATATTAATTGAGAGTTTTTCAGTGACATTAAGGCACAAAATGGAAGAGATCGAATAATTATCGCTAGCAATCTTAATATTTTGATGGTTGATAAAAATTAAAACTCGAATAAACGGGTGGTTAATTTCCAGATGCAAGGCCATGAGTTGTTAAACTTCATATAATACAGGACATTAAACCTTCAGGTTGCATAACGCTTTCATATTGCGTGGTTCGAGATCATAAACCAATGAAAATAGCAAAAGAAAATTGAGTGTTACGAGCTGTAGAAGAATATTGAGCTTTGCATAATAGCGGGAGTTGCCAGCGTTTCCCGGTAGAGACGACGTGTTTAAATACAGCCAATTCTCAGGTCCTTTAAAGTAACGAGGCGAGTTGGCACGCGATGTCAGCACTCTAAAAAACAGCGGCAACATAAATCAGAAAAACTCGATTCATTCATTAGACAGCTGGCGATTAATTGCCACGTGGCCTAAAAATGTAAACTAATAATGGAGGTAACATTTTTCAGCAGCTTACAGACAGAGAAAGTATTCATACTAGACCCCTGCATCTGAATAAAAAAATTCAGCTCTATAGCTGTGAAGGGTGATTGGAACTAAAACAGCAGAACATTAATATGACCATGTTCAGAACACGTTCAAATACCTTGTATACAATTCATTTTTTTTAAATTGGTATAGTTCCGCAGAAGTTCTTCCTCTATGCAAGGGTGCGCGTGGTGCCTCACCACCACAAGCGTGCGTGTGGTGCCTCACCACCACAAGCGTGTGTGTGGTGCCTCACCACCACAAGCGTGCGTGAGGTGCCTCACCACCACAAGCGTGCGTGTGGTGCCTCACCACCACAAGCGTGCGTGTGGTGCCTCACCACCACAAGCGTGCGTGTGGTGCCTCACCACCTCAAGCGTGCGTGTGGTGCCTCACCACCACAAGCGTGCGTGTGGAGCCTCACCACCACAAGCGTGCGTGTGGTGCCTCACCACCTCAAGCGTGCGTGTGGTGCCTCACCACCACAAGCGTGCGTGTGGAGCCTCACCACCACAAGCGTGTGTGTGGTGCCTCACCACCACACGCACCACACCCACTGCAGAGGCCAGGGTTGGGCAGTGGCAAGGATCGATCGGATGCCAAGGATGCTCAAACGTGACCGCAGTTTTGATATGACGTCTGAACCGCGCAACAAAGTAGCTTAACTGGTAGAAATAGCATTACAGTAATGCTAAATTATTATAGAATTTCAAATTTAGCATTATAATAATAATGCTAAATTATTTTATTAATTATAAAAGTGTTTGCACTGTTACTCGGCACTCGACAAAAGTATGCTTATATTACAGGAATGTTTTTTTCAATTAGGATAATTGGAATACATTACAGCAACTGGACCAAAATAATCATGTTTTTGATTAAGTTGTAGATCAGTATTATGTTGCATTGCTATCATCTGTCACTAGAGTTACTCCACGATGAGAAACATGAACAATTCCTATGCAAACATGATTGGTTTATAGAAATATGGTAGAATCAACTTCTATCCATTTTGAGTGAAGAAATCTTCGCCCTCTTCATAATGCTTATGTAAATAATAATGAATCAATTACAACGATGACATTCTCACGGTCATAATTCCAACGGGATAGGATTACATATTTTAGCTGTTTAATTGAGAAATTATCAGCCCATTTCAGACGGATAAGAATTACCCATTTAAGCTGCCTAATGATGTCATCATCAGGTCAGCAATTCACAATCGAACTTCATGACAAAGCCACAACGACCTTGTCATCTATCCTATTCTATGGTGTGCCAGAGTACCGATAACAAAGGAGGGGATCACACGTATACAGTATACGTAGTGTCCAGTAACAATCGATGAGAGTTATCATATGATTAATAGTGAATAAAGTGTCTTTGGTCCATGTCATTTGCGAAAACTATAGAAAATAATACAGAATTTAAATGCCTTTTCTTCATCACTCATCCTATACGCGCAGTGTTCACATTTAGAATAAGGAATTAAATTAATAATTATTTTCTTCCATTATCTACAAATTTTTTACCTGATTCCTAATATAATTAATGATTGATTGATTGATTAATAACGACCTGAAAATGTGATTCATTGAATCACATTCTCGCGATTTCAAAAATTCACTGCAACAGCAAAAACAAGCAGCTGGCTGCATGCTAAAACTTACTCATCATTCGTCATGAACGATAAAATACAATAAAACGGTAACAGATGCGATCGTTTTTGAAGCAAATCGTTGATTAATTTATTAAAAAACAAATTTAGGAAAACGATCATTAATCAGAGATTATAACTCATACTAGCACATTTAATCGTGTATGCAAATGACTCTCGACTCACACGACGAACTAGAATGGAGCCTGAAAAGCAGCAGCCACTGACCGAGCTCCTGCATGTCACGACGCCAGCTAAACAACTGGCAAAAAATCTTCAGAGAAACACAAGAAGCTCGACTATCCCGGCCAGACTCCAGCCACCAGAGGGCATTCCAGAATTGACATTACCTAGAAATTTCTTATTTCTACACCTTTGAAGGCCTTTTTATTAAATGTAGCAGATATCACGCACAAGAAGCAATGAGAGATAGATCTGCTAGCGGGACAACGGATGAGATCATTTCATAAAAATTGTTTTTATAAAGTTTACCAGAACATTACAGCGCAAATATAAGTGGCACTTTAATAGAAAATTGTCTTCGTAAAATGTAACAGAATGACGCTGCGCAAAAATAGGCGGCGAAGCTTTAATTTGTAGGCACAATTAATTTGTAAAAATTTGTAGGAACAATTTTTTTAATGTTTGACCAGGGTTTCCATTCAACACCGTAGCGCGGGCGGTACGCTCAGCTGGATGACATCACAAGTTTAAGTTGATTGATTAGAACAAAGCGTTCAACTTTTCAAACCAATTCGCTTGAAGCGAAAAATGGGGACATCAATTAATCAATTGATAAAGATAGTACTATCGATTTTAGTTTTTCTGACCTTATTCACTATGACTGAATATTTTTTCGGTCAATTGTTTCAAAATACGATAAGGCAGTAAATTTGTGCACATTTGAAATTTTTTTATATCATCATGGTTTTCTTTCACTATAAATCCTAATTAAATTCATAAGGTAACATATATGAATACCTCAAAATACAGCAATTGGAGGAACCTTTTATCCTATATGTGATGATAAAACGGGATCAAAATAAAAGTCACGGTTTGAACTGAATTCTGTTATTATTGCTTTATAGCACTACTCACACAACTCACGTTATAGCACTACTCAGGTTCAGATCATGCAATGCAATCGTCGTATCTCTTGAGGAACAAATGCAATGCAGACCTTCGTTACGTCTTATAACACCCAGCTAAGAGATGGAGCCCAAACCAGCGTTACCAATCAATCATTTGTACGCATTCACTTAAATCAGCACATGGACCGAAACTCACAAATATAAGTGAGCGATTGTGTATTTAAAGATAAAATATTGATAAAATATTATACTTTGTAATCGTCTGCACGCAGGTCGTAAAAATAAAGAGCGCGATTATCTTTAATGGAGAGAGAGAAGCATGCATGACAGCATCGTCCGGACCATGAATAGATGCGCTCGCACTTGCATGTATCAATCGCTTCTATCACAGCGATTGATATACAAGCAATTCTAGCAAACTGACGTCAATTGATAGTCTGTTGATCTAAAATTAGATAAAAATGTTATTTTCCTTCAGCTGAAAAAAACAATGGCGGGCCTCGTTGTTGGGTTGCAAAATGTTGTGTTAATCTCAATTTTTGCGATGAACATTGTTAGGCCAGATTCATCATGTGATCTGGCGTACTTTGCACTGTAGGTTGTCAAGATATAGGTTCTTTAGAATGGCAAGTATTTTATATTCCAAATGACGTTTTTTTTTTTGATTTGAAATGCAAATATTTGTGAAATTTTGTATTGTGACCCTGTGTTATCAATGAATCATTCAATGTAGGGATTTACATTCTAGGATAAGATTGAAAAGCTTTTATTTGAACGTATGATCGAAGATGGTTCGATAACGAAACAAATTCGAAGTTCTAACGAGATTTCTCGTCGAGTCGAGTCGAAGACTTGGGTGTTGGGTGAATGAGCGTTTTATGCCCGGGTGTTAGAACGAAACCTAACTCGTCGAGCCGCAAACTCGAGTGTTGGGTGAATGAGCGTTTCATGCCCGGGTGTTAGCATGAAACCCAACACGTCGAGTCATAACATGTGCACAGCACTGGCCAGCAAACGTACAAAGGAACGTCACTCGTCACCGCAATCAACATCCCCGGTTCACAGCGCCTGTGAATTGGGACGCAATTCGGTGTATGATTCAAGGACAACGAAATGTAGTTCTCATGCTGACAACTACATTTGGCTACGGATATATTCAAAATA